ATGTAGCCGCACTGGCCTTAGTTAAAATAATTGTGATAATATCGATGAATGTCCCGTCTGTTTGGAATATGTATTGCATAAATGTACACAGGACACACACACAACCCACACACACACACACACACACACACACACCACACCACACACACACACACACACACACAACACTATCTATACTAATATATATACACACATAAAGACAAGCTCACACACACATACAGACTCACACATATTAGACGCAGAAAACGCGCAAACCACGATACCAGGTAACGAAATCTTAGTTCAACATAGTCAACTTTCGATATGGCAGACAGACAAAGCAAACAATTGTACGCAAATTTCTGCAATGAACACTAATATTTTGACAAATCATGACAATCCGAGATGATATATCTACTCCCAACCTAAAAAAAAAAGCAAAAAAACTGAATCGTCTAGATAACAGATACCGATGAGCATTACCAGCCGACAAAGAATTCTATCGAACCAAGCGCTCAACTAGTGGACAGATGCTTGCTGCATGATGCGTGGTGCAACGAAGATCCTCGTGTTTCTGGGCGTTTGTGTCCTGTTCAGTGATGCTTTTGGAATCAGTATAACGGAGGTAAGGCGTGCTCAGTGTTATTGCGTGGAATTTGTTCAGTGCTTTTGTTACTAGGGACTCGTTACATGGACGCTCCTCTGATGCGCAATTGAAAAGCCACTCGTGGTATACTATTTAACTATCTCTCTGTCTATTCATTCTTTTTTTTCTGTTCATCTATCTATTTATCTATCTCTCTGTCTATTAATTCATGTATTTTTCAGTTCATTTATGTTTTTATATCTCTATCTCTCCCTCTATTTATCCATTTATTTTTCTGTTAATTGATCTATTTATCCATCTATCTCCCTACTTATTCATTTACTTTTCTGTTCATTTATCTATCTATCTATCTATTTGTTTATTAGTCTAATCATTAGTTATTTATTTACTTTACCATATGTTTGTCTATCAACTTATTAATTTATCAGTTGATATCTTTAATTGTGGATATATTCATATCATATATTTATCTATTTAGTATTTTATTCCATATAGTTATATATTTATTCATTCATCTGTTTATCATCATCATCACTCCTTCATCATACTGTGCGTATTTAGATGCAAGTTCGAAGTTGTTTATGCAATTCATAATTATGAATATGTTGATTGAAATGCATTTGGACTATGACGATATTGATATCAATGAATAATGAACATGATCTAACAGGGAAGATGATAGTTTAAGGTTGGTAATGATGATGATTATGATATTAATAGTAATAATAGTTGTAATTATAATAATAATGATAATAATAATGATAAGGATAGCAATAACAATGATAATTATGATGATTATGAAAAAAAATAGTTTAATAATAATAGTAACAGTAATTATTATAATAAAAATAATGATAATAAATGATGAAGATAATGATGAAGATGAAGATGAAGATAATAATAATGATGGTAAAGATGAAAATACTATTAATGATAATGATGATAATAAAAACAACAAAAGTAGTGAAAGTATTGATGAACATAATGATAACAGTAATGATATCTTTAAAAAAAACAGTCGTCTTGAAGATTATAACAACAGTAATGAACAAAAATTCTGACAATAATGATAACAAAACTAATGATAGGAAAAATAATGGCAATAGTATTAGTAATAGGAGTAATGGGAACGATAATGATAATCGTGATATTACTACTAATACTATTAATAATGATAACGATAGTAATGATCATGATAATAACAATGAAAATTATAATAATAACGGTAAGAATGATATCAACAACAATAACAATAGTTCAATGATAATAATAGTAATGAAATAACAATAATAATAATGATGATAATAATAACGATAATGTTAATCATGGTAATAACAATAATAATGATAATAATAATGATATAGATAATAATGATAATAATAGCAATAATAAGAATTATAATAATAATGATAATGATAATGAAAATTATAATAATAATAAAGATAACAATAATGATGATATTGATAATAATAATGATAACATTATTGATAATAATAATGATAACATTATTGATAATAATAGCAGTAATAATAATTTTTAAAGATAATAATGACAAAAATGATTATGATGATGATGATGAAAATAGTAATGACTATAATGATACTGATGATAATGATGATAGTAATAATGCTAATAGTAAAGATAATGGCAGTAGAAACAATGACAACAATAAGGATTATTCTGATAATGATAGAAATCATGATACTGATAAGGCTAATAATAATAATAGTAATAATAATCATTATTATATTAGTATCAGTATTAGTATTATCATTATTGTTGTAAGAAATGTTATCAATATTATCATTATTATTATTTCTATTATTATCATCCTTATTATTATCGCCATTATCATCATTATTATTATCATTATTATATTTATCATTGCCATTATCAATATCAATATCATCATTATTATTATTATCATTATTACTATTATTGTTATTATCATCATTATTATGATTATCATTGTGTCATTATTATTATTATCATTATTATTATTATTATTATTATTATTGTTGTTGTTGTCATACTTATTCTTATCATTATTATCTTTGTCATTATAATCATTATGATTATTATTATTGTTATCATCATTATTCATATCATGATATCATTCTCATCATCATTATGATCATTTTCATTATCACTGTCACTTTTATCATTATTACTTTTATTATTGATACTCCTACTAATATTGTTATGGTTTTCAATGTACTTTTTTTCATTATAATCCTTAGCATCAGCATCATTAATAATTCCTTTAAGTCCACGACATCTATTCCTATGTCTATCCACCTCGTTCACAGACCGACGTCCCATTCCATACAACATATTCTGAATTTCACCCACACCGTAGTCACAAAATACACCTGGCTTTTGCTTCTCTGTTTCGTATGGGGGACTGCAATTCATATACGTATTTGCACTAACTTTGATTAACTTGATCCAAATTTCCATTTTCTCATTCACTTACTGTTGGTATTAGCAGCAGTAGGTAGTTTGCACGCACCGTGGTCCTTCGTCTAAACCACCATAGCATTGTTGAAGAGCTGAAGAGTATTCTTGTTTTTGTATTATGTGATTCTTTATAATTGCTCCTCTTTACATATGCATTTCTTCGATCATTCTGATATGTTTCTTTGATACTACATTTTGTTTCTAACCTTACAATCGTCAATTTGAAACCCATGTATATTCAGTGGATACCAAAGCCTTCTCAATGCCCTACATAATGTTGCAAAACTAATACCCTATCCTCGGAGTAGTATTGCTCTTTTCTTCGTTTCAACTTTCAACTTTCTGGACTCACACTAACTTCCTCCCTTATACCTCCATTATCCTTGCTGTAAAGAGGACACAGCAAATCATCGGCCTTTTCTCCCCAAGCGTTCCGTGCTCCTTCGAATGTCCCATCTCCTCTCACGTTCTTACCTTTCTTCATTCCGGTACTACTTCAATTACTGTCTCTGTTTGCAATTGCTTGAGTGAAAATTATTTTTTTTTCGTAATTTGTCTCTCTTTTAATATGCTTTCCATTCTTTTGTGTATGTACATCGCCAAGCCGTTTATGACTATTCCTCCTGTCTCTTCTTTTTTTTTTTTTTAAAGATGAAGTAATATTTTCCTATCTCTATACTCCTTTTGTCTCGTTGGAGTGTCTATAATGCATTGTCATTTCAATGCCATTCGTCTTTATCTTCCTGCGTTTTTTCCTCGACTTCTGCTAATTCTGCCTCAACCTATTGATAACATTGACATATTACTGATAGCGTTTCCCTGATAATAAAGTTCTTATACATTTTAACCATTCGTACCTCTCCCGGAGCATACGATTCACAAAACTTATGACTAGTCGCCAACGTGCAGTAACTTAATAAAGATGTTCAGTCTTGCATATCCATAAATGCCAAATTTCTCCGTCAGCTTTGACCTTCTTAAGACCTTGATGTCCACGGTATTATTCACTGCCCTGCTGATTCCTTCGCGTCCAATGAGGCATGCTATTCCAATTTCTTTCCTTATCCTCCTTCCTACTACACTTTGAAATACAATATCTTCTTCGACTTCTTCAGCCTTGAAAAAAACTTCGGTACCTGTCCAGCACTATATCCGCGCTTTCTTCCATTTCACATTATTATCCCAATGCTATTCTATCTCTGTCTTGACACTGTAGGACATTTTATTAAGTATCATTGGGGGTTAAACTTATATTCCCCCCTTTTCGGTGATAAGAAACATGTGCCAGAGCCCACTTTCGTAGTCTAACAGCAAATATTCGTCGTTATATATATGAAAAAATACACAGATAGTCGAACAACACAAATCATGGTAATTATAAGAAAATGAACAATACAGATGTTAGTTTCCTTAATTTATTTCTAATTGGACAATTCCAAATCATCGTCTGCACCAGAATATATGTGGTTTAGATAGGAAAGTAAATGACATTCATTAAACACATGATGCTGAGGTCTCCTTTCCTTTCCTTTCTACTTTTTAGCTTTATCTAAAGTCAAGTCACTGTGCTCAAAGCTCCTTGATTGATATCATTCTTAAAATTATCTCAGGTCTGTCCAGATAGCTTGAGTATGTTGCTGAATACATGATAGGCACCAATCCATGGGCACATAATATCCGAATACTAGGATTCCTCAATCATAAGCTTTCATCTCCACTGCCTTCTGCTTCATTTAATTCCCTGTACTTTCCTTGCATCGCCATGTTCCACTAACCCTCAGGATGGAATGATCACACTTGGATCATGCAACCTTTCGCGTCTTAAGATTACTGTTTTGGGCGTCGCTTGTGCCTTGTCCGTCGTCTGTGTAGTACTGAAACATGATAATGATAATACCAACTGGCACATTTGTAGGGTTGAATGCCCATGCTGATTCCAAGCCTTCTCTTATGTCCGGGATAGACAAAGGCCAAACGTAAAAGATATTCCAAATCCGATGAAATTTGCGAGGATGAATTACGGGGTAAACCAACATGAGGGTGAGTATGATCATGCTGATAACGGCAATCAGGATGGCGGTGATGATGATGATGATGATGGAAATAATGGTCATGATGTTGTTGATGATGGTGATTACGATGATAGTGATGAGGATTATGCCAGAATGATAAATAAATCAATAGTAAAAACGATGGTACCAATGATAAAAATTAATTAATAAAACGCTGCTGTTTATGATGCCAACTATGAGAATACTGATGAATAAAGAAAATAATGATAACGGTGATAACAGAGATGACAGCAATGATGACACGGATCATAATGATAATAATAACAGTATAAATAATGGTATATATCATAACAATGATGACGGCCATGATTATTTCAGGTTTGATTGGTATTTCAGAGCATCTAATCCTCCTTCTTAGTTTCAACGTTAGGTCGAAAAGCGATACCTGTTGTTAGGGAAGTTCTTATTCTTGGCAGAGTAACAGAACAACATTGAACAAGATGACTAAATGATATGAATACTAATTGATTTGCTCATATAGTAAGAAATGATAAATGCGTTGTCATTTTATTTATATAAAAATGAACTTAATGTTACCATTCTGCTGGTGGGTTGCTTCTTCGTTCGGGTCACTTGCCTACTCTCCGCGATTATCTTCTCATTGTTATTATTGCTGTCGTTGTTGTTGTTGTTATTAATGTTATTGTTGTTGTTGTTTTGTAGTTGTTTTTCCTATTATCATTAGTAGTAGTAGTAGTAGTAGTAGTAGTAGTAGTAATATTATTATTATCCTTATTATTGTTATTACTAATATTATTATCATATCATTATTACTTTGTTAATAATAATAATAATAATAATAATAATAATAATAATAATAATAATAATAATAACAATAATAATTATCATTATTATTATCATTATCACTGTTATTGCTATTATAATTATTTTCATCATTATTATTATAATCAATTTCGTGTTTCCTATTGTTAGGATACTCTGCATTGTCTCTACGCGTTATTACTTACATAAAAGATGGATTTCAAAATTATTCTTTTATGTTCGCAGGTGAACAAAGAACATGCGAAGGGGGGGAACGCCGCTGAACAAATGCCTCAGGCTGGTAAGCAATACTGCTTGTCATGTATTGTTATTACTGTCATGTATATACTGTATGTATGAACATATGATCATATATACATGTAACACACACGCACGCGCACACACACACAAAAAAAAAACAAAAACACACACACACAAGCGCGCGCACACACACACACACACACACACACACACACACACACACACACACACACACACACACACACACACACACACGCACGCACACATACACACACACACATACACAAACACACGCACACACATAAATACACATATGTACGCATGCTTATTGTATTTACAGAACGAAACAAACCCAAACATATACATACATGTCATTCGTATGTACAAAACATAGGCACAGAAAACGGTTAGTCTCGATAAGTGATTGTGAATGAATATTTGGAAACAAAACCATATAGGCACGTTTGTAGATGCGCAAACATGCACACAACTGAATGTCTAAATCCGTTTATATATATAATCGACCCAGTATATATATACGCACATGCCCATACATACCTATACGAACGCGCGTATAGAAATAAGTATAGGCACAAAAACATAAACACACAAAAGCAGATACATCTTTATACACCCATCTATCCATAAACTATATATAGTATATACATAAACACAACCGCACACAGACACACAAGGTCTAGAATACTTTTTAAACCTTACATGCACACACTTACACACACACGCACACACAAACACACACACACACACAAACACACACACACACACACACACACACACACACACACACACACACACACACACACACACATATATATATATACTTGTACACAAATTCGACCACACACACAGACTCACGTTTACGAACACTCAGGCTTAACGAACCCACTCAGAGCAGGATTTTCCACGACAGAACCCGGACCCCCTACCAACATCAAGGTCAATGTGCTCTCTTCCACCGCCTTGGAAGTGACCTGGGACCCGGCGCCGGATTCCACGCCACAGTATTACCGTGTTCTGTCGCAGGGCTCTGGAATTACACCTGGAGATCAGATCGTATATGATCAGTACTACCTTTTGAACTCACTGTTAGGCTGTACGGAATATTTCATAACCATCATATCCGTTTATTCTGATGAAGTTGAATATAGGAGTGAACCGGTTGATGGAACCACTGATAGTGAAGGTTTGTCAGTTCAGTTATTTTAATTGTGTCCTGTAGGTACCATTACTAAACATATTGCACAAAATGTTATACTTAAGGTGCTTTAATGTGCCTTCCGATATAATGCAAGAAAACCAGATAATAATAATGATGATTACGATAATGGTGATAATGTTAATGTTAATGATGATAATGATAATGGTAATGATAATCAATGATCATGATTATAATCATGATAACAATAACAAAACAACAACAACAGCAACAATAATAATAATAATAATAACAATAATAATAATAATAATAGTAATAATAATAATAATGACAATAATGATAATGGTAATAGTAATAATAATAATAGTAATAATGATAGATAATAATGATAATAATGATAATAATGATGATAATAATGATAACAATAATAACGATAGTTATAATAATGATACTACTACTACTACTCCTACTACTACTAATCATAACAATAATAGCAATAGTAATATCAGATATGATAATGAGGATAATACTACTGCTGATGTTCAGGATATGATGATATGAATAAAATGATAATGATAGGAATAAAAATAATAAAATAACAATGATAATGATAATGATAATGATAATTGTATTATCACTACTGCTACTACTACTAACAATAGTAATAATAACAATGATAATATAAAAAAATCATGATAACAATAATGATATTAGAAATAATAATAATAATAATAGTATCAGCAATAATAATAACAATAAGTATATTAAGATTAATTATTAAAATGGTATCGATATCAAAATGAATGATAACAATAATAATATATATAATGATTATAACGGTAACAATAACGGTAATATTGACACTAAGAATAATATTGTCAATAATGGTAATATAAACACGAACATTTATACTATAATAATAATAGCAATAATAATAGTAATATTAGCAACAATAATAGTGATAGTAATAATGATAATAACAAAACAATAATAATAACAATAATGATAGCAGTAATAATAAGGATAATGATAACAATAACATGAGAAACAAGGATAATAAAGATAATAATGACAATAATAATAATAATTATAATAATGATAATAATAATGATAATGTTTTAGTAACAATACTAACAACAGCAAAGACAACAAGAATAATAACAATGATATTATCAATAATGAAAATAATGATCATGGTTAGAATGATGAGGATGGTGATGATGATGGTTGTGATAATGACGATTATGATGATGATAATTATAATAATAATAATGATAATGATAACAATTATGATGATGATAATGATAATAATGATAATGATGATGATGATAATAATGATAATGATAATAATAACAATAATGATAATAACAACAACAATAACAAAGGTAGTTATGGTAATAATAGTAATAATAATAACGATAATTATAATAATAATAATAGTAGTGATAATAATAATAATAAAAATAATGATAATGATAACAATAACGATAACAATAATAGTAATAAAGATAATGATAATGATAATGATAATGATAATGATAATGATAATGATAATGATAATGATAATGATAATGATAATGATAATGATAATGATAATGATAATGATAATAATAATGATAATGATAATGATAATGATAATGATAATGATAATGATAATGATAATGATAATGATAATGATAATGATAATAATAATGATAATGATAATGATAATGATAATGATAATGATAATGATAATAATAATGATAATGATAATGATAATGATAATGATAATGATAATGATAATGATAATGATAATGATAATGATAATGATAATGATAATGATAATGATAATGATAATGATAATGATAATGTTAATGATAATGATAATGATAATGATAATGATAATGATAATGATAATGATAATGATAATGATAATGATAATGATAATGATAATGATAATGATAATGATAATGATAATGATAATGATAATGATAATAATAATGATAATGATAATGATAATGATAATGATAATGATAATGATAATGATAATGATAATGATAATAATAACAATAATGATAATAACAACAACAATAACAAAGGTAGTTATGGTAATAATAGTAATAATAATAACGATAATTATAATAATAATAATAATAGTAGTGATAATAATAATAATAAAAATAATGATAATGATAATGATAATGATAATGATAATGATAATGATAATGATAATGATAATGATAATGATAATAATAATGATAATGATAATGATAATGATAATGATAATGATAATGATAATGATAATGATAATGATAATGATAATGATAATGATAATGATAATGATAATGATAATGATAATGATAATGATAATGATAATGATAATGATAATGATAATGATAATGATAATGATAATGATAATGATAATGATAATGATAATGATAATGATAATGATAATGATAATGATAATGATAATAATAATGATAATGATAATGATAATGATAATGATAATGATAATGATAATGATAATGATAATGATAATGATAATGATAATGATAATGATAATGATAATGATAATGATAATGATAATGATAATGGTAATGATAATTATAATGATAATGATAATGATAATGATAATGATAATGATAATGATAATGATAATAATAACAATAATGATAATAACAACAACAATAACAAAGGTAGTTA